TTTAATATGAGCTTCCACGGCCCTTGCAACAGCGAACGTGTGCAGACGTCGTAAAGACGCCGTGGCTCTGGCACTTTACCCACAGCGGCGCGGCTTGAGAACCCGAGAGGTCTTTAGGTTTGCGCTTGGAGCTTGTATCATGCAAGCATTTGCAAACCCTACATGGCAGACACGTCTGGTGTGGTCAGGCTCATCGTGCTCCAACCGCGAGCAATTACTAAACTTCGAGTTTGTATGCAATGCTCCTTTGCAATGTGACAAGTCAATGCATTCCTGATCCTTTGAGTTGATAGTTGCAGTAGCTGTAGCCGTCTTTTGCATGGTCACGCAACACTCGTTCACAGTATCTTCATAGCGGCGACAAAATTGTGAGTGCCGCCCAGCACCAACGCCAGTAAATATGGGGCACAGGTTTACATCGTTGGTAGCACCTTGCTCGCTGCAACCATCCTCGCGATAGGTATTGCTTGCTAGTATCGGCTCCATGCGAAAAATCCGTCCCAGATCGATGGCCTGCTCCTTTTACTGAGTGAAATATATACGAGCCCTCCTGTACCCCTAATTGACTTGCAACGTAAAAGTAGGCTGACTAGCGTGCTCGCCATACTACGAGAAGCAACAACTGCAAACGATGGATTGATCCGTTCTCAGCCTTGATTTGATTGCGGGTGCTTGCGACTGTAGCCATGGTTGCAGCGTTGATCGCGGGTTCCAAATCACCATATGCTACTCCATCTTACCAAACTCCAGGACCGCGACTTGGCCCGTCGAAACTGAGCTTGAAATCAGGACGGAGAAGCTTCCTCTGGACCTCAGGCAATCTATCGGTCTTGCTCGTTATTTGACGACTCTTTGTCTTTCTTTGGATCATGTGGCGTACGAAGGCACGCATCGAGGTCAATATCTGATAGTCGTTCCCCGTGGCGATCTTCATTCCGGAAGTCCACGCGGTTCTGCTGAACACATCTACAGCATTGCCTAACAATTTAAAGGTTCTGCATTGGAGCAACAACTATGCGCATGGCTTACACTCTGGAGGACATACTGTCCAACATTGAACTGAGTCTAGTCGCAATGGCAATGCTCACACCGACCCTACCTATGTTCTCCAAGAAGACGAGCACTGGCGCCGTATTTTCCTCCCTGGTGAAGACGCAGACGGTACGTTTGACTCGACGAGCTCTGCAACTAACATTGCCCTGATGAATAATTTATGCAGGAGCGGTGACAGCGACGGTGGCATCTGGACCAGCAAAGGGGAGAGCATCGTCACGTCTGCGGCGATAAGGGCTAGCGAGGGGGAATTTGCGAAGCTCTGTGGAGCTGGAGACAAGTTTAGCGAACGACCAATCAGGTTCGTTGAGACCCTTTGATTCGTCATGTGTCGAGCCTCGGCTGCCAGTGATTACAACGTGGACTAGGCTCTGTTTGAGCGAATGATTAGATATACATACAACATCAAGCGAAAGTGGGCGTGCCTGCCTCCAGAACCTCTAGTTGAGGAAAGTTGCTACCGTCCACAGATGTTCTCTGGCCATTGTAACGGTGCCGCCTCTATGCAACGAACTAGCATACGCAGTGCATTAGGCAGATCTAAGAAGACTAGGAATCAAGCAAATGAACATTAAGATGGTAAGTATCTTGCCACCGTTCTTTGGTGCGGTGCCATGGCCAGCGGCGCTCCGGCAAACGGGCCGCGATAGCAATCAGGGCGCTTGAAAACTCGCCTGCGGGAAAGGGCTCGGGGCTGCTTGCCAAATCAATGCCTGAACCAAATCACTGTACCTCTCTGGCCAGATGGAATTGCCGTCGTGCTCCCTCACACCATCTCAACCTTTACCTTCTAGCTCTTAGACATACCTAGCACCCTTGCCCGGAATGGCTCACGAATCCACACCTACCGTAATGCTGTTCCGGCAGGTCCCTCGGGACCTGCCCGTCCATCGCGTCGCCTTCATACATGTAGTGAATAGGGTACAACCATGTACAGCGTAGTGCAGCAGTACTCCCTAACTTGGCACAAAATCTACACAAGACGACATTGAACAATACCCAACTCCTTACGAATCGCAAACAGCGCCTAAGCTGCAGATGTTCCCGCTCCATGGCTCTTGTTTCGGCACACCATGTTGCAAACTAATGCAGCTGGACCGCATGCCCCACTTTAAGTTTGCAGACTGTGCCATTTTAAGGGACAGATGAAGGAGTTGAGGCGTGTATCCTTCTGCGTCGGCCATGAGATCTGTGTCTAACATTCACAGTTCAAACCCGGTCAATCCTGCCGGAGGGACAACTCAATGATGGAAGCTACGAAGGAGAGTGACGGTAATCCTGCGCCTGGTCGAAGTTTTGAAGCTATCAAGCAGGATCTTAGCCAATCACTACTGGCAACGAAGAAACCTACGGACTTCATCATCACGCTCATCTATTGCATCCCCGTCCTTGCCCCGATCCGTATATGCACTGCAGCAAACGTCTTCCAGCGACTCGCGCAGTCTGACAATCCTCTGTCTATTGGAGAGCTTGCAACGACTTTCAGCAGTTCTTCAACTGAGAATGTAAATGATGTGGACGAGAAACGGGATTTCCTTGTCCGCATGCTCCGGGCAGTCTCTGCGATCGGGCTCATTGACGAGACTTCTGCCTTCACCTACCAGGCGAATGAACTTACGAGGACGCTAGCTGATCCAGGCTTTGCTGCCGGGTTTGAGTTGGTCTTTGATAATGTGATGGGTCCAGGAAGCACCATGGCGCAGATGCTACCACATCACCAAGCTAATGGCTGGATGGCATCTCCCACCGCCAAGGATGGTCCATGGCAGCGAGCGCGGAACACCGTAGGAACCTCCACGTTCGACAGCTGGATCAAAGATGATCCAATCCAACTAACGCGGCTCAACGCTTTGATGCAGCGCATGCAGCGTGATCGGCCACACTGGTCTGAGTGGTTCCCAGCAGATGCGCTATTTGGGCGTAGTGCAGAGACCGCTTCATCTGAACAGGTATTCTTCGTGGATGTCGGCGGCGGTCGTGGGCATGATATCACTGCGTTGGCGAAGAAATACGAGGGCAAGAGTGTCCGTATGGTCTTACAGGATCTCCCTAGTGTTATCGAAGAAGGCGAGGAAGTGAGGAAGAGAGACGGAAAATCGCTCGACTCGCGCATAGCGCTTTCGACTCAGGACTTCTTCCAACCGCAGGTCGTCAAGGGCGCGCAGGTGTACTATATGCACAAGATCATGCACGATTGGCCAGATCGGGATTGCGTCAAGATCCTGTCGCACCTGAAAGATGCCATGAGCCCCAGCTCAAGAATTCTTGTAAACGATGTGGTACTGCCAAACAAGAGCTGCCCGCTGCTGTAAGTGTTTCCCCAACAACTTCGTCTTTTCCATCCTGTAGCAAGTTACTGATAAGTGCATAGGCATACTGCTTTCGACATCGACATGCTGCTCTTACATACCGGCAAAGAGCGTGATGAAGAGATGTGGGAGCGCCTTGTCGGCAAGGTTGGAGGCTTAAAGGTCCAGAAGTTCTGGCATCCTCCTGCGGGTGAGGGTGAGGGCATCATTGAAATCGTGACGACCTCCTCTTAGTTCGTCTGCAACCCGAGATTCAATGGTGCTGTAGCCGCAGCCTGTAGTTTTGTTGATAAACGCATACATTGGCCAATCTCTGAGTGACGTCTGGAAGCCTGGGCAGTCTATGCCAGTGACTACGTATACATTGCAAAGGTAGGGTGACGATTGACGATACTGGTCAAGAGAGTTCATGCTGCAGGGACAAAGGTCGCACTGGCAAGTTACATCCACTGATATTGGAGATATATAGACATAGAAATATACGACAGGTATGACATTGTATGAGTGGCTGAGGACCAGTGCCTAGGCTCCTGTGTGCTGCAGACTCTTGCCAACCACCACCAATCTTTAGAATGGTGATGACATTCCTCACTATACGTAACCACACCCATCGGCTCCCACCCGCAACTTTGGTTGATCGGAAACATCCTCGTCATTAGAAAGAAATCGGCAAATGATTGTCAGTAAAAAGCAGTCACATCTCACGCCTAGTACCTGATACGTCCACTTCCCATCCCATCAGATACCAAACGTCTTCAGAAGGCGATTGGCTTCTTCTACATCTAGATTTCTCTTGATGCTATCTTTGTCAAAGATGGATCATAGAGATTTCCGCTGCGTACTGCTACTTTTTGAGACTTGCGCGCGACTTCTCATGTGGAATCCACCAGCTCTATTGAGGTGCCAATTGTGTCGTGAAAGATTGGATTCGGTCTTGTATGCGTGAAAGATCCTCGCACTTCGCACGCCAATCTTGAACGAATTTGATTCCTTCAGGCCAGCAGTGGGGGTTCCTATCTTACAAGCACGTGTCAAGGACAAGCTGTCAACAACATGTACCAGCGTGCTTATATGGCGCTTGACAGCCCTTCGCGGAACATCGATCAAGATCCTGGAAAGCAACCCAATACACGGGTTGATCCTGCAAGCCACCGACTGGGTGTGACACCCGGTAGTAGCAACGGCTTTACAGTCATCCGTCAGCACCTGAGCTGTTGTTATGGAATCCGACGACCACAGCCGGCGAATTGTGGTCTTCTTTGTCTGGCTCATACGCTTCAATGTTCCACTGCTTTCACGCAGGAGTTCTTGGTTGTAAGTGCCAGTGGCCTAAAGTTATTCGTAGTGCTCGCTTCGTCAAGATATATCATGGATCTTGCCGTGGAAATTTCAAATTTTGGTTAGTTCTCTTGCTATTTGCTCAGTCACTTGAGGGCAAAGATATAGTATCTATTGCCAAGTGCCAAAGCATAGCAGTAGTAGCACTGTCACAGGTCACGAAGAAAAGCGAGGCTAACCAGATAGAGAAGTGATTACTAACCAGTTTGACATTTGAGCTATATAAACGTATATGTCAACATTTCGGACACTATGAACTCTGATTGGTTGTGAATTCATTCAATCAGTACTCTACCAAATGGCTGGTTGGCGCAATGGTAGCGCGTCCGCCTCCTATTCCTCGCACACTTGTGCATGCGAGTGTAATACAAGCGGAAGGTTGAGGGTTCGAGCCCCTTGCTGGTCGGTGTTGATGATCTTATTTATTATAACTTTTGCTCGTGCTTTAATCGCCGAATTAGCATCCGGCAACAACCACCATTTATATTACTAGGGACGGGGATTATGATCTGATTGGTCTAAACTCCTCCTATTTCCACAAGGAATATTCTGTTTCAATTGGCAGTGTCAATACAATATAGTAATTAACGATTACAGAACATCTCAGAAAAGTAGTAGTATAGCAACTTCTACATCCCCTCTCAATCCGTTGCAGTCTTACCTGTATCCATCTTGGCGCTTAGAGCGAACTGTACCGCTTGGGTGGAAGAGCCGCCGAGAACATACAGCTCGTGCCTACTGCCACGCCAATCTTTATGGCCATCGAGCTGGCTTTCAGCAATAGTCTTCCGGCTGAGTACACAAAGTTGGGACACTAGAAATAGAAACATATCGATCCCGCCATCACAAGGGGCTGCTTTAAGCATTACCAGACTTGTGAACGTATTCTGCAATGTTTGAGTTACACACTTGATCCAATGGCAATTGTGCAAAAGCTAAGGCAGGATTACCAAAACCAGCACCAGCAGAGTCTATTGGCCACCTGCCCATCTCCATGACAAGCCAGCGGCTATTGCCAAACACCTACAATCTGGACGAGTCGAAGCGCCGACCTACTGTGTCTTGACATTGTGACTACTGTCCCGTGTCTCCTCTGACTATAAGTAGACGACCCTTCCCCAAAATCCAAGATAGCTTTTCCAGATCCAAGCCCATCCGATCTTCTGACAAACACATAGAAACAACAGCACATCACCGACAACATGAGCAACAAACAAATTTATCTGCTCCCATTCCGCCCTGCCGCGAACCAACGCGCCCACTTCAGTTTATATACTACAGAAGACGCTCTGCCAGGAAGTGGACTTCTGATACACGTTGTGGGTGCTCCTATGGCGGGATTCCAACTTGAGGTCCGGGAGAGCTACAATCTTGCACAAACGAGGCAACTTTACACAACGGTCGTTTGGGAACGCTTTCCAGCCAAGATGTTGAAAGAGTGGTTCGGCTTGCTTCGACTGTGCCACCTCCACCGATCAGTCAAAATTTCTTGGCACCTGTCGATGGGGTAAGTTCGCTGGAGAATGCTCTCATAATTTGCTCAAACTCAAAGACTAAATCTGTGCTAGGTGAACAACAAGCGCTGCCAGGAATAGACCATGGAATTCGTTCAACTGCTTGTACAGCATCAGTTGTTGAGTGTCGACGCGCTGTCCATTGTACAGTCTCGAAGAGATCCACCAAGTCATGGGGTTGGACTTAGGCCTGTTGCCAGGTGAGTTGTCTGGGTCATCTGCGTTAAGCTCGGGCTTGTCCTACAATGGGAGAGTAAAAAAACCTATGCAGGCGAGTCGATGTTACTAGCTTATACTGCTCCTATTGTCATTGCGTATTCAGACATGAGGTACCGTTCATCTTCTCTATCCCTTACGATCTTCGGTATCCAGTTCATCCGCCAGTCACCTTCGTAATGGGTAGTGTAGCACATCTTGAAGTGCTCCCACCAATCAGGATACCAGCCGGACTGACCCCAATCAATAATGGCTAAAACGCGGGGCGGCCCAGATGCGGTTACCATGATGTTTCTAGGATGCACGTCGGCGTGTGTAAAGACTATAGACGAGTCCTTTGGCATTAACTCAAGGAAAGGGTCTCTATACCGCTGGGAAGCCTGTAGGAAGCGCTGTGGAAGCCACTCCATCCAGGAGTAGAACTTCTCGAGGGTCCTGAATGGTCCAGCAGTGGGCCGCTCCTCGAAGACGCGGTCAAGCAGCGGTCCTCCAGGTATCGACCCAATGAAAGCGTCAGATGGCTCTTGACGGAGTTGATGCAGCAGTGTGAGCATGCCATTCAGCTCTTTGCAGACTGCTGCTTTTCCGACCTCCCCGAAATCTGCTTCGTCCCATCTACGCTCAAGTGTGACTCCAGGTATGAGCTCCATGTAGATAAGTACATTTCGATCACGTATCCGCCACCCATAGAGTTCAGGAACGGGTAATTTATCAACCAACAGCTTCCTTACTGTCCACATGGCTATCGCTTCGTCGACAGTGACCTCGCGACCGTACTTGACGGCTAGCTGCTGCTCGGGAAAGATAGCGACATCTTGAATCCCTTTGACGTCAACGGTCGAAGGATCAGGAAGCTCTCGGCCTGACACCTGAAAGTACGTTGAATTAGGTACGTCAAAGTCTTTCTTCGACGCTTGTAGGAGTAGGTCGATTTCTCGTGGCGGTATCTGAACCATGGTCTCCTAGAGACGAAGACGGCGCTTTCTTATCAATAGTCTCTCCAGTACTGGAATTTCTATTATTCAGAAGGCTGGGGGTTTAGAATTTTTTGGAGTCAGCTGGCTTCGCCCTCAAGAACTACAAGATTGAATTGTCGTTTGTAATGTGTTTCAGTTCCTGCTACACTGGAGGATATAACGAGGTCGAGCGAGGTGGCTCGAGGGTTGTGTACATGCATCCGCACGAATCACCGGACGGTTTTAGAAAAGCGTTAATTTCTTGTAGCCGTAGGCATGCTAGGGAGACTAAATTTTGTCAGGTGACCGGCGGCAAGCCGCGTACACTTCTGCTCGATACTAGATGCAGCATGCTGGGGCGTTTGCTTTGAACACGAGTATCTAGACATATAAAACTGTGCCATCCTAGCGACCTCCTCGCCTTAACCAGATCACCGAAATAATCCTTGAAATACGCATGGAGGCACCTTTGCGTGCTAACTGCCCTTTCAACAAGACAACCTTTCGGTAATAGTCATAAATATACCAGCGGTCATTGTGCGTCGCACGCTATTGGTGCTTCGTACCTTTATTTCAAAAACTTGACTATAGTAATTGGTGGTAGCATCCCCTATCACTGCGAGCAGTGCCAGAGGCATCCAGCTTCAGTCTCGGGAATTTGTAGCTTAGGAAGAAGCTTTCCAAAACAGCACTGTCCCTTCATTTGGCTGTTGCTTTTGTTATCGTCTGTTTAAGCCAGACAATCTTTAGGAAGATGAGAGCCAGGAATTCTCCAGCTAACCAAACATTCAACGTCACAGTCGCTAGTGGATCAAAGAAGCAGCACAAAGTCGTTCACAACAATCTACCAGAAGCCGGGTACCTGGATGCGGCCCGGGGAGAAGCACGCTACAAATACACGATACTCAACTGTCGTGTCACAAGCGATCTTAGGATGGGCTGGGCAATGTACTAATCAATTCACCTTCGAAAGTGGCTCCCTTGAGCATGAGATTCAGAGTTCTTGGGCACTACAGCATTCTCGCATTTATTGCAGACTCGCATCACGGCCTCGGGTGTGATATCTTTCGTCCTAAGGACATGGAGGCTACGTTGAAGTCATGGCTCAAAACCGCAGCTCAGAGCTCTGGTAGATTTACCTACGTCTTTGATTGAAGCTACCATAGGCGCGAAACCGCATGGCAAAAGGTTCGGCCCCTGACTCCCTAACCGTACCATTACCCCACAACGAATCTGCTTACCAACGCTATGACAAGCCTCAACTCGTTGCAAACGGTTCAACTCCTACATTCTTGCCTCATCTCTCAAATAAAGATAGCTAAGGATGAGACAAAACATGCACATAGGGTTACGGCTAGGAATCAACTAAATCATTCATACCGTTTAGAAATAGTTGTTAAAAACTGAAGATGGGTATCATCAACTCGTATCAGTCTTGACAGCTAACTCAGCGGTTGGCGCTGGAGTCGGTTTCGGCGATGGAATGACACTAAACTCCCCAGGAACGCCTCTCGCCGGACGCCCCATGCTGCCATATCTGGCGCCACACCAGGTACCCAAAAGCCCACTCCACATTACACCTCCTGCTAAGACTCTCTGGATTGTCTTGTATGCATGCATGTCAAAATACGGCAAGCCGGTTTTGGGGTCTTTATATCTGGCCTGGAACTGTGTGACGCAGCAGTTCGTCTTAGATGGCGGCACAATGCTTGACTGAGTCCGGTGACCTTTGAATGTTCTGTTCGTAGTGATATATCGGTATTGCTCTGGTGTGAACTGTGGAATAGTGTTCGGTAGTATTATCCCACGGATTTTGTCTGTAAGTTCTGCGTTTGCCGCTGCAGCAGAAGCGGCTGCCGACGTTTGAGAGCGACGTGAGTTTCTCTTCCGTTGCTCAGGAACATCAACTGTGAGATTCGTAAAGTTCTCGAGCAGTACAAGGGAGCGCTGGGCTTGCTCTTGTAGTACTGGTTGCGGGGGAGGTGGGGGTGGTGCAGGCGTTCGTGGGGATTGACTTTTATGTTGCTGTTCGTTTGAGGTTGGTTTGGTGGAGAAGACCGAGGCTCCTGGAGGCCAGTTGTGCGTGTTTGCTGACTGGGGCTGGACAGGTCGAGGAGTAAGTGGCTGTATTGGAGGAGGGTAAGAAAAAGGTAGCTTTTGTTCCTGCTGAGGCTGCTGAGGCTGTTCCAGTTGCTGCTCCGAAGGTTGGGTGGGTGGGTGATCTGCAAGTTGCTCTGTCGATCCAGCATTTATAGTAATGACCGCGCTACTTTGCTGATTCTTACCCTCATCTTGCTGCATAGCGTAGTTCTCAATACCCTCAAGGAAGCCCTCATGTTCTGAAGGGTCTGGTGCCGATATCTCACTAACAGGCTCTTGTAGCATAGTTTCTGATTCCAAAACAGGTCGTGTGTGGGCTACAACAGATGGGAAAGGATATGTATCCCACACCACTGGCTTTCGAGCAGCAGTGCCTGCCTCTTTCTCTGCTTCCACTTTCTCTGCCTCAACCGCCTCTTCAACTAGCTTAGCAGGCCTTACCCTCTTGATCTTGAGCTTCCAAGATTCTCCATAGCCTTCAAAGATCCCACTTCCACTCCAGTGTCTGATGAAAGCACCGTCAAGTCCTCTCTTCCTCTTAGCTGCAAGAATTGCCTCCCTTTGCCTCTGCCTCTCGGCCTCTTCTCTCTCGTACCTTCCCAACTCCCGTGCAGTCTCTT